GTTTGAACCACAAGGTAGGTGGTTTGAATTCACCAGCCGTTCCTCTGAAACCCTATACAGGGTCGTTAAGTGCCATTGTGCTTGATTTATTTTTTAATACGTTTACTCTCTTCCTTTACTGACTATATAAAATTTTTGCTTTATAAGAATATTTCAAATAGGAAAGACAGGCTTAAAACCCCTGATTACCATTAAGTTACAAGCAAACATGTCTAAATCCTCTTCACTGTGTTCTGATTCCTCTTTGGTTTGCAGAGTGGAAGATTAGCCCCACAGTTGGCATAAATAGATAGAGGAATGCTTGTGAGGCTGGCATATAACAATCCAGCAAAGTGCTGGATTGGACTCAATGGCACTTAACACCAACAACATATTGATGCATATATACACTCCCAGTGAGAATGAAAGACCTGGTGTGGTGCTGTGGCTAATGCGTCAGACTGCAAAGTAATTTGAACTGCAAGGCTGGTGGTTCAAGCTCACCAGCTGTTCCTTGGAAACCCTATACAGGGTCGCTATGGGTCAGAATTGACTCGATGGCACTAAACAACAACAATGAGAATGAAAAGCCTTTTGATCCAACTTACATTTTAGCCTGTGTAACCTCTTGATTCTAATGCCTTTTTCCCACTATTGAAAAACAATTGATATTAAAAAAAAAAATCTTTTGCTTCTGCATTTTAAAGATTAATCCCCTTCCCTGTCCATTTCCCTGCAGAAATCATTCAATCCTATTCATGGAAATCCATAATTACATGGAGATTAGATTCCAAATGGAAAGCAAATGTCTGTCTACCCATCCTTAGCTAAGTCACCAGTTCTCCTTTCTAGAGACCATTATAGAGTAAGATGGCAGTTGGTAGAATGGGCGAGTGGATGGACAGGCTAACCTTACCTGACTCAGTGGTGATAGGCAATGAGAAAAACGTGTCTGAATAGAGCGGCTTTGCGAATTCCTTTAGATTCTCATCGAACAGTTGTGTGAAAGCCCGAATGCTGATTCTGAAAAGAAAATTAATTTATTTGAGTATTTAAGTGGCTGATTACAGTAGAGCTTGCTAAAAAAAAAATGTGCTTCAGTAGAAGCAGGCTGGGCACCTGGACAGTGGGTATGTAGTACTGGATATGAATCATGGAATCAGGCATATCTGGGTTTGTTCATTTATCTATTCACTGAGTCATTCACTGAGTCACTGGAGTTTTATTGAACCTCTACTATGTTCTAGGAGCTGTGGATACTGTAAGGAATAAAACAAAGTCTTTCCCCTCTTAGAATTTACACTGTCATAGAAGTCAGCTACTAAATCACAATGCTAATGTACATCTAAGGAAAAGGAAATGAGCAGAGTAAGGGGAATTGAAGGAAGCGGGTAGGGATACAGGGCTACTTTATTCATCATGGTCAGTGAAAGTCGCCAGGATAAGAAGACACAGAAACCCGAGGAAAGGGAGGGAGAAGCCAGGCCTGCATTGCAGTTGGAGGAAACAGCAGGTGCAAGGGTTTGGTGAAGGGTGGGTCCAAGTGTGAAGGCAGAAACGCACAGATTAACTAGAGAAGAATAAATAGTCGAGTTTGAAACAGGGGTAGAAGGAAAGACAAGACAAGGCAGATAGGATGGGGACTTCATTTCTCTTTGCATCTGTTGATGGACACTTGGGTTATTTCTACCTTTTGGCTATTGTGAATATTGCTAGAATGAACACTGGGGTACAAATATAGATTTACACTTTTGTTTACAATTACTTTGGATATGTACCTAGGCCTTCCCTGCATTTCAATGCCTAGCTAAAATGATACCTCCTCCAAGAAGCCTTCTGAACCTTCACAAAATGTATTTACATGTATACCTCTTATGGTCTTCAGATTTCTGCCTATCGTTTCACATACACGTCTTCTTCCTGTCAATACGTTACAAGCTCTTGAATGCAGGAGCCTCCTCTTAGTTATCCATCTACCCCCTACAGCATTTGTCTCAGAGCTTTCCCCAGAGGAGGCAATAAAACAAAATATGTATTGGATACATGGTCAGCATGATAAAGACTGTAATGAATAGGTATCTATGTGATAGTAGTTAGAATGTGACCAGAAGCTGAATTCTATAACAGAAAGTTAGAGATCAGGTGTCTGGATTTCCTCCATTTGAGAAAAATGAGGTCAGGAGCAGATGAGTGTGGTCACACTGCTATCCTCTTTAAAACAGAAACAAAACCAGATCAGCACTTTCCAAACTACCTCTCCTCAACAATGATCTCCTTTTTTTTCCGTATGGAACAATGGATAATAGAAACCAACAATGGATAGGAAAACCTTACGTTTACTAACATCATAAGCTTGCAACATCAACTAAACCTAGCTGGCTATTTCTGTTTTGTCCTCAATCCCAATTTTTCTTCTTCATGTTCTGCCATGTCTACCTATTCTGTTTTGGGGAAGACAATATGCTGATGGCAGTGAGGACCACCGTGATTATCCTCTTGAGACAGACAGCATTGTGACTGCACTGAGCCTGTGCTTTGAAAGGGAACATGCCTCACACCAAGCATTATCTACCTGACATGCTTTCAATAGTATGAATCAAACATACACGGAAAGCTGTGTTCAAGAAAACCAACATATACGTCATGAGTTGATTAAATTATATTAATTTCATGAAGCATGTTGGCTCCTTTTCTTATATGAACAGATAACATTTAAGGAGTGTCTCTTTTGTGCCAGGTACTTGACATGTTTTATAATCAATGACACGTCTCTTTCCCCTATTAGACTATGAGTGCTCTCAATCTGGTGAAGGGAGCAGGCAATTAAACAAAGGCTTAAAAGTCACTGGTAAATGCAACAGTAGAGGGATGGAGTGTCTGAGGGGTATGAAAATGGAGCTGAGGGAGCAACCAACTGCTTGATGTTCAGTGAGCAGATGTGGTGTCAGCCTCAATGAGGACTGAGCTGGTGTTTGGAGTGCAAGAAGAAATTCACCAGTCAGACAAGAAAGTGGAGGGCATCCCATATGGAAAGAAAAAAATGTGCGAATACTCAAAAGTATGAGGTATAAGAGAGATATGTCACCCTCAGGGAACTCTGAGGACTGAGGAATAGTAAAAGGGTAAGGAGTACTTGGGACAGATGGTAGGAGACAAGGCTGGTGAGGGAGGCAGAAGGGAGAGAGAGCGCCAGGGCTTGGTGTACCCTGCTCAGGAATCTGGACTTGTTCCCGTAAGTGCGTGGGAACTCCTGAAAGTTCTTACTCTATAAGGGAGGGACGTTACTAGGTTTGATCTATCACATACATTACTCCTCAGGACAATCTTGTAATGTTTTGCAGATAAAAAAGTGAGGATTAGAGAATGGAAATGCTTTTTGCAAGGTCACACAGCCAAGAAGTGTCAGAGCTACAACTCAATTCCAAGTGCTCTCCACTGGACCTTGACAGCTTGTTGGGACAAGTAAGGTGCCTGCTGGGAAACTGGTGGGCTTGGGTCCAGATGTGAACCTTTTATAACTTCTTTCTCGCTGTCTCTTAAATATAGTACTGAGACATCGATCTTTCCCTCTCCAAAAGCAAGCAAGGAAGCTAGTTAAAATAACTTCAACTTTCCAACTCAGAAAGACCAAAGTTGCCCTTCAGAGACTTTTGCTCAAGTTTTCTTGAGCTCAAGTAACAAAGAAGCTACGACCACAAGTTTTACAGGAGCTGAAGGAGCCCAGTGTTCTATTAAGTGTCCCTTTTGCTCGGTCAGAGATCTCACCTCCTTTAGGTATAGAAAACCAATAACCCTGGGAGGAGCAAACAGTTAAGGTGCTCAGCTGCTGATTGAAAGATCGAAGGTTTAAGCCCACACAGAGATGCTTTGGATGAAACGCCTGGTGATCCGGTTCTGAAAAATAAGCCACTGAAAACCCAATGAGCCTAGTTCTACTCTGACACACATTTTATTTTATTTCTTTATCCAGGATATAGACTCATATGGTCCTTTTTGAAGTAAGTGTCACTAATAAGTTTGCATGTGTTTATTCTGAAGTTGTCAACCTCAGCTGGGGTGGCAGTAGCAAATCTAGGGTAAGTCCTGGGTAGAGATAGCTCTTCAGAGTTCCTTCCAAAAGTGAGTCCTCTGCTTTAGTAAAACAATGTCCCTATCTTTGTTGAGATCTGGGAAGGGCTAAGAACTCTCAGGTGTGGTGCCATCCAGACTCCTTCTGGATCTGACAGGAATGTTTTTAAGCCGAGATCCAAGGGTGATACCCAGAGTCAGTAAGGCCTGGTCAATTACCAATCAGAATCAACAACAGTCCACAGGGAACCTAACTGGCTGTGATACTGGCTGGATATCATTCAGCTAAGATGGAACATCCTCTGCAGAAATGATCTTCTAGATAACTGTAGCCTAGGGTCGCTATGTGTCGAAACCGACTCCACAGCACATCACAACAACAACAAATAGCTATGACAGTAGCCAGGTTTTCTTTCTCTTGTGGGCCCTGGTTTGCAATGTTCTATAGTTCTGCTTCTATCTGCTTTCTGGGAACCCCGTGCAGGCCAAGAACACTGTCAATTCCTAGGGCTGGAAGGGCCTGGTGCAGGCAGTGGTGCTTGCTAAGGCTTAAGCCAATAATTGCTCCTTTTTACCTGCTATCCTACAGAGGCAACAATGCACCACTCACTCAGGAATCCCTTCCCTAAGAGCTACATCAGGACCACAGGACCCTTGTCTTTTGATGCCTTGTTGTTAAGTGCTATAGAGTTGGTGCTAACTCATAGTGATCCTCTCCAGGGTTTCCAAGGAGTGGCTGTTGGGTTTGAACCATCGATCTTGTCGTTAGCAGTCCAGTGCTTATGCTACAGTACCTTTTATATCTTAAAAGGTAAATAAATAAGTGTAATTCTAATCCTCACCCAAAGTGGATGATAAAGCCCTAATATAATTTATGTCTCTCTAAACTCAATCTTTCTATTCAGACATTCTCACAGTAGTTAACATAGTAATTGATTTGACTCATATTAAAGAAGTTGTAGGAGAAAGAGTACTTGATTAAGAATCTTAAAGCAATTCTAAATAAGAGCTTTTGCTATATTCAGAAGGTCCTCTTCACACACTGCCTGGAAATGTCCGTGAGTAGCGTAGTGGTTACGAATCGGGCTGCGAACCTTAAGGTCAGTGGATCAAAACTACCAGTCGCTCCGCGGGAGAAAGATGAGGCTTTCTACTCCCGTAAAGATTTACACCCTTGGAAACCCTGTACAGGGTCGCTATGGGTCGGACCCGACTCGATGGCACTTAACAACAACAACAACTCATGTGCATCAGAAGGCCAGACAGCCAAGTGCCTGGTGATGCAGCACGTCCCCTCTGTCAAAATGATGGCAATGAATCTAACCTGTAGGCAGTGCGTGGCTTCAGTGGTCCATCACAAAAGTTTTGCTGATTGGGATCACATTTTCCACCCAGGCTCTCCATCTCTGCTCCAAGCTTAATGTTAAAGCTCTTATAGTTGCTGTCAGGACTTTCAGCACATTTGCTTGCGAAATAATTGGTCTGATACACTCGAATGGAGGCGTTGTGTCTGTATTCCAGGTAGGAAGGCAGAGGGTGCTGTTGTTCTGGCTTTAGCTCATCACTGCCTGGAGAGAGAAAACCCAATGACAGTATGGCGTTAGTATTTTAGTGATTTCTAATTCAGTTTCTAAAGCTGCCTCCTCCTTACTTCCTGTCTCTGGCTTATCCCCAGAGTAGCACAGGTTCTGTGATCTCAAGGGATGCTGTGAAATTGCTCTAATGGAATACACACACACATACACCAACAAGGAGTGCTGGTAGCATGATGTTTAGCACTCAGGTGCTAACCAAAAAACTGGCTGTTTGAACCTATCCTCTGGCTCCAGAGGAGAAATACCTGGCCATTTTCTCCCACGAAGATTAGAAAATTCTACGGGAATTCTAGTCTGTCACATGGAGTTGCTATAAGTCAAAACTGATTCAATGATGATATATATATATATATATATATCTTATCATTTTCCAGAAAATAAAGTGGAGTGTGCATGTGGGGGTGAGGGCAGTCTGTTGCATCAAGCAAATGACAACACATCCCATAGCTACAGACAGTTGGATATTCTCCACTATGAGAGTCCAATAAGTTCAATAAGCCCTCCACCTTGCCAATAACTATTGTAGCTGAGCTAATAAGGAAATCTGTATGACCTGGGAAACAGGAAAATGAAAAGAGAAACCATGTCTCAGGCCAGAGCGCAAGGCACCCATGGCACGTTCCACATGCCTAGTCAGATAGCTGCTCCATGTACAGCACTTTTGTTATCTTGAGCACAGTTTTATCTAAGTTTGAATTTGGTCCATCTCTCAGAACACTTCCCAGAACTCTTCCCCTGTCTGCTTAGCCCACTGTGTGTTTTGGCACTGCAAACCAGTTCTGATGTTAGTTGGAGGAAAGCACAATTAGGAAGATAAATATTATAGAGATAAGATGCCGTTTACAATGCACTTCAAGGAGTGGAATTGTAGTTCATGCAGCATTTTGGACTCCAGTGGAATAGAATGTGCTCAAAATGAGAAGTTCTTGCTGTGGGTTTTACATTAACTTTAACCAAAGAATTTGGCCACTGCTCTTAGTTCCTGAGAAATAACCTCTACATGGTATTGAATTCCTCCACTGATTAAAGTTTTTGATGAGGTCTCCAGACCCCACAATGAGGTGTCTCTTGTGTAGGGACTGGCTAGGTCACAAAAATCACTTTGTGATATCAGTCATCCTGTGGGGGTCAGGTGGGGCACTTAACAACAAAGGACATATTAAGGAGCTCTGGAGTACATGCTGGGCTGCTAAATACAAGATCAGCAGTTCACATCTACCAGTTGCTCTGAGGGAGAAAGACGAGGCTTTCTGCTCCCATACAAATTTACAGCCAGAAAACCCTATACAGGGTCACTGTGTGTCAGAACAGACTCGATGGCACACAAGTACCACTACCACAACCAAAGGACATATTCAGAGGCTGTAATGGAACATTATTATACTCATTACATAGTATTTGCTAGGTCCCTAGGAATTGTTGCTGTTGTTAAGTGTTGTTGAGTCAGTTCTGACTCCTAGTGACCCTGTATAGGGTTTTCAAGGAGCAGCTCTAGCCATGTGGTTCAAACGGACCTTAATGTCCAGGGCATTAACCCGCAGAACCACACTGGAACTTCGTCAGAATTAGATGGTGAATAATTTAGGAAATTAGCAAATGAAACTATTCAAAATTTTATAGAGAAGGGAAGGATGCTTTTCACGATCACCCTTTGCTTCTTTTAAGCTTGTGAATATTTTTGTGAATTGGTGGGTAGTTCATGGTTGAGATATTTGAGATGATGGGAGGGGAAGATGAAGAGAATTAAAAAGTAAATGCCACTTAATGACAGAACAAAAGTGTAGTGAATCGTTCACATCGCTTCCATCTTGGCACCAAATTAAGAGACCTCCCTTCCACAGGAGTCCCGGTGTGGCACACTTAGCAACAACAACAAACCCCATCTCCCAGCCATAGAGGCTGTTATTTACATAATCTTTGAGTTAACTGGACAGACTGTAAGAGCACAGGCTCCAAAGTGAACTGCCTTGTTTTGAACCCTCTAACTACTAGTTTTGTGACCTTGAGCTTGTTACTTAATCTTTTTGTACTTTAGGTTCTTATACATATAAAACTGGAATTGTCCTCATGGGTTGTTGTCAGGATTGAATGAGTCAGGTTCATGAAATAAACTTCAAACAGTGCTTGGCACATCATGAGGACTCAGTAACTGATGGTTGTTGCTAGTATTGTTATGGTTGTGAGCTGGAAAAGGGAAAAACATTCACTGCCCTCTCTGCTCAGGAGTCAAACTAGAATGTTAATCAGGTTACTGAGTGGGACCAATCCTCTCTGCCCAGGAGTCAAGCTAGAATGTTAATAAGGTTACTGAGCAGAACCAATCCTCTGGTTTCCCTCCTGTCTTCAAATAGGTTTGCAACCTCCCTGATTCTGACCCGATATAAGTCTGCATTGCCCTATATTCGGCACTCAGAATCTGGAGAAATTAGCTCCTCTGAGCCAGCTGGCTTAATAAAATCTGAAACTCTGCTTTACTCCGAGTGGCCTTGGTTTCTTTGACAACAGATCCAGGGTTACTGTGACACTCCCAAATCTAAAACTGCTGTAACAGTTGATCTTCTCCCATCTAATCATGAAACTCTGCAGATCACACTTATTTCCTGAAAGCTGGTAATCGATTTCTTGTTACATCTCTTTGCTTCCATACAGACACGGATCTGAGAGATACATACACAAATGAAATTTTCGACTCTTCAGAATTTCCAATAGTCCTTCAGAAAAGCAAACCTGTATCTCACAGCAGAGTCACTTCAGGAAAACTTACCATCAGCCTCTCTCACCACCACTGTGAAGTATTTCACAGCGCCATTGGTGTCGCTGAACCAGCTGCAGTTGAAAGTAAAGTTGATGGAAGACTGACTAATGAGTACATCTTTTTTATTCACACGGATATGTGGAGGTGGAGGCGGAGGGCCTGCAGCAGACGGTGGGGAAAGAAACGAGAGAGGTCACAACTCAGTGTTTACTTCATGAACAGTGAAATGAAACACGTGTGTGTCCACTGCTAGCAATCAAGAAACCCACTCCTTCCTCTCCTGTAGGGAAGCTGGCAGTGACTTGCCACTTTAAGCAAATGAAAGTGACTTGTCACATTAAGCATATGAAAGAGGCAACTCCTCAGCAGGATATCCTGAAGTTGTTGCTGTAAATTGCTTAAAAGCTGCATTAAAGCCTTAAGTATATCAGGCAAAGTGATATATTTAAATGCTAACTCATTTAGATACTTTAACATCATTTAACTTGTTTGCTGCCAGGGTACTTTACACAGTGAAATGTTTTCATCTCATGGAATGTGAAAGGATAGCCCCATGGTGGATACAAGTGGGCAGTGACAACCCCTCCCTTGGTATACAAGAGGCTTGGAATTGACCTCTAGGGACACTTACGGTCTATCATTGTGATAGTGCTGTCTTCAACCACCTCGCTGGACATGCTGGCTGACTGCACTTTAATGGACACCAGGTACCTTTTATGGGGCACCAACATCATGATGTTGAGCAGAGATTTTTCTTTCTCCAGCTTTCTGGAAAACTCAACTTCTTGGGTGTCCATTTTCCGGCACTCAATGCTATACCCATCAAAGTCAGAATCTGGAGGGGTCCAGGAACAAGCAATGGCTGTGGAGTTCTGCGGCCGACAATGCAGGTTTTGTATTTTGTCTGGTTCTAAGAGAAAGAGAAGAAGAGAACTTTAGAACTCCATACAGCAGATTTCTTTTCAACTTCTCTGGGCCACTTAACTCTGCGTTCTAAATAAATGGTTATCAAACTTTATTTGGATTGCTTTTCCAGGAAACATTCTTAAGGCCCCCAAGGGAATTTCTCCCTACCCCACTATGAGAAATGCGTAAAATGCTGTCATTTCAGTAATCACCAGGTGCCAGTTTGATTGTTGTTGTTGTTAAGTGCCCTCAGGTCAGTTACAACTCATAATAAACCTGTATAGGGTTCTGAGGAGCAGCTGGTAAATTTGAACAACCAATATGATTGTTGTTGTTGTTGTTAAGTGCCATCGAGTCACTTTCAACTCATAGCAGCCCTATATAGGGTTTCTGAGGCAGTAAATTTTTTCAGGGGTAGAAAGCTTCATCTTTCTCCCAAGGAACAGCTGGTAGTTTTGAACTGCTGACCTTGAGGTTACCATAGCTCCTTTTCATTCTTAACTAAGCACTGGTAAAAAATTAATTGGTAACTTATTTACATTTGTGTGGCCCATCTCTGATCAAACTTCTTTCTGTTTCTTTATTAACAAATATTTCACTGCTTAATGGAAGATTTTACTCTCTTCTGATTATTCTCCATTTCTCTCTCTACCTCCACTTGGTGAATTTTACACTTCCTTTTTTTTTTTTTTTTTTTTGCATAGGGAAGCATACGAGATGAATTGCTG